CCCGGGCCCCGCCCTGTCATCCGTCCCTTCCATGCTCAGAACCGTCAGAACCGTGGGCCCGCGACCACCACCGCGCTCCACACCCACGCCCCTCCCCCCAACCCGGCCTCGCCCCTTTCCCCCTCCCCCAATGCAAACCTCCTCTCTGACCCGCCCCTCGCACCCCCCTCTGCACAAACGCCCCGCGGCGCCCGCAGCTCTCAGACGCCCTGCAGCAGCGCGCCTGGGGCCTGCGGCGGCTGGGCGCCATCCTCTCCTGCCTGGACGCCCGCCTGGCCGACATCGTGGCCCGCTGGGAGGGCGGGGAGCTGCGGCGCGCGGGGCTGGGCCTGCAGGAGCTGCGGGGGCTGGTGTGTGCCGTGTTTGAGGACACGGACCACAGGGCCCAGTGCCTGCAGCGCATCGAGGCCGCGGGGGCGTGAAGGGCAGGGGTGGCGGTCGCTGCCTTTGGCGCCGGCGGCGGCGCGGCGCGAGGGATTGTGCCCCTGGGGTGCTGCGGCATGCGTGCGTCGGGGCGCGGCGCGCCCTCCTGGCGGGGACGTGCGTCGGGGCCGTGCGAGGGCGGCTGGCGGCGCGCCAGCCGCCCCCGCGCCGGCGGCGCCCCTGGCGCGCAGGGCTGTGATGCCGCCCGGGGTCTTGTCAGTCGATCGGGCTGGGCCGGCTCTATCGCCGCGGTTGCGATCGTGCACCGCAGTCCGTCTTTGTGCCGCCCTGCTGCTGCCTTGGACGCAGACAGCATCTTCCCTGCATTCCCGCGCCCGTAATATCAACTTCACAACATGCCAGTCTTCCCCTTTGGCGTGTGCGCGGGTCGGCTCTTCTACTTGGATGTGTGCCCGCACCCGCCCTCTGCAACCCAGCTGTTTGGAGCCAATTCCAGGCTTTTGCTGCGACGCTCTCAAGAGCACACACGGTTGCTTTGCAGCTGAACCCGTCACCCGTCCTGCCAACGCATGCAACAAGCTATAAACAGCGCAGCGGCGGCTACAGGTCAGGACACACCCCATCAGGGGGCGTCGCAACCAGCGCGGCCCCCCAGCTGCGAGCTCCAACGGCAGCAAAAACCCCAGGATAGCAGGCAGAGGGGTCGGCGCAAACACCTTGCGAGGGCTGCAACGCCATGCTGGGCTGTGAATGTGGTACTGGATGCAAGGAGGTGTATTATCCGGGTGTGCACGTGTGGAAGCGAGGCAGGAGCGGGGGGCATTGAGCCAGCTGCCGCACGAGCGGGGCAACCAGGTTGGGGCGAAGGAGCGGGGGGTGTGAAGGGTCCTTTGGGGCTGGGCCGCGGCGCGGCACCGACGGACATGCCGGCCCTGCGCAGTAGCAAGCAACCGCCGTTGCTAACTGGAGCGGCGTTGCTCCTCAATCAGAGGTGGCCGTGGCGCGCACCGGGGCCCAGGCCGCCAGCAGCAGCGGCCCTTGACCGGCGCGCGCCAATTGCTGCTGGTGCCACGCACACCTGAAGGTTTCCGATGCGGTGAGGCCTGGGAGGGTCACGGGACAGATCGCAATCACGTGGCAGCTTCCGGTGGTCGAATCCCGGCGCAGCCTGGGCTGCCGCCGCCTGTGCAGGGCGGGTGCGCCGCTGCAGCACTGCGGCCGCGCAGCGCGACGCTCGTGGATGGAGACCCCTGAAGCGGCGAGGCCCGCTAGTGGTATGAGTCCCTGCAGTTGGATGGTCTGGCCGCTGCTTTCTAGGTTTTGCACCTTGTTGAGGCCACAGGTGCGTGGAGCTCCCCGTGTCGCCTGCCCCCCCCTCGGCCTCACTTTCGCCACGCGTGTGCGCCGGCCCTGCAGGCCTGAGTTGCAGGCCGGCTTTGCAGCCGTTGACGGCACAAACTTGGACCCAGGCCCAGCGAGGTCTCGCCCACAAGCCACTCCCCCCTTAAATGCCATGGTTTCTCACGCCCTGTGGTCACCCAAGCGCCGCCCATGTCAATCGTCACTGACGCTCTGCCAAGCAACAGGGCAGCATTACACCCTGAGATGTCGGCGTGAGTGGGTAAGCAGTTTAAAAAGGGGCCGCCGCAGGCTCACGGCGAACCCGCGCCGCCGGCGCCGATCGGCTCAAGCAGCAGCGCCACCTGCGCCCCCGCCCCCAGCCCGCTCCCCTCGAGCGTCAAGCTTCCGCCGCCGCCGCCGCTGCCGCCGTCGCTCCCGCTGCTGCCAACCGCCTGCGGCGGCTCTATGACGCGGCGCGGGTAGGACGACACCAAGCGATACTCCCCCGGCCACAGCCCGCCCGCGCCCTGGCTGTCCACAAAATCGAAGAGCGCAGTCAAGGGGTCCCCCGGCCTGAACCGCCGCTGCAACCGCGCGCCGTCCGGCAGCCGGAACGCGCACGAGGCGTGCGGCTCCGACGCCGCAGGCTCCGGCGGGAGCGCCGCGGCCGCGTCCGCGCGCGCGCGCAGCCGCCGCGCGGCGTCCTCCGCGGCCCGCTGCTGCTCGGCGGCAGCGGCGGCCTCGGCCGCCGCGAGGGCCTGTCAAAAGAGTGCGGGGAGTGGGGCGTCAGGGGGCGGAGAATGTGGCGCCGGAGGGCGGACGAGAGCCGGGAGGCAACATCAACCAGGCGGCACGGCGCGACAGAGCGGCCGCCCTCCAAGCAGAGACAAGGGCTGCGACGTTCGGCGACACCCAGCCCCGCGGGCCCAGTGCAAAGGCCAAGACAACGCCGCCGCTGGCGCCGCGGCCGTCCCCCGACGGGGCGCGACGCGGCGCGGCGAGGGCGGGCGCGCGCGCGC